ATCCTGTATCACATCCCAGGTGTTTACTCTAGCAGTCATATGATGGTGACTGACACACACACACACACACACACACACACACACACACACACACACACACACACACACACACACACACACACACACACACACACACACACACACAGAGCCGTAACAGTTTGCTCTCGGCTCCAACTCGCTGCATACTGAGACTATCATCAGGACTTTGAACCAGAGATCTAAAATTCAGCAAAGATCAATGAAAATATTTTTCTTGTTTCAAGATTTAAAGGAACAGTATTGTGTGTTTTTCTGCCACTCTAATTGCTGAATTTCTGCTGGCTAGTCTGAAGGGGCTGAGTGGGGGAGGAGCTAAGTGGAAAGGCGGGGCTAGGTCCACTGAGGCGTTTAGCACAGCTGAATGGTTGCCATGGAGACTGGAGGATTGAGTCAAAGCAGCTCTAGACATGATGTCATCAACCTAATTCAGTCGTTTGTTTGTTGTTCCCTGTTGCTCAATAAAGTTTCTTGAAAAAAAGAGGGAGGAAATGGAACAGACTTCAAAATAAGAGCATGAAGGATTCAGTTGAATGTTTACAAAACAACAAAATAAATCATCACTTTAGCAATTTATACGGAAATTAAATTTAGAGGAATCCAATTAAAAGTTAGCAGGAGCGCTAACGATGAGCCTCCCGTTTTTAGCTATCAGGTGTTTTTGCCTTTTGCTTGGGTTTAAGTATTTTATAAAAGTGATGATGTCATCAGCATGAAGCAAAAAAACTGGAGTTACAATTACAATATCATTTTAATGCTGGTAATATTTCAAAAACAACCTTTTTAAATATTACAGCCTGAAGTTTATGTGGTTCAACTAAATGCGTTTCCTGATGAATGAAGCAGTTTATTAATCTGAGATTAAACTTTATTCATCTAAATGTTCTGCAGGAAGGAAACATTTACTTCAAACTGGAGATGATCTCACATTTACAAACTTTACTGTTAAAGTTGGACCTAAATGTTCATGAACTGAATCAAACATCAGTTCAAACCTCTGATGGAGTTTTAAAGCCTCCATTTCCCATCTGGCTCTGATCCACCAGAGAAGCTTCACCTGAGTCTCCATCCGATCCGGACCTCCAGAACCGCAGAACGTTCCTGTGTCGGCCCGAGACCGGCTCACCTTCACACGGCCTGCTGCTCCTCCTGCTGGGCCTCCTTCCTCCTCTTCCTCCTGCCTCTTCCTCCCTGCACGAGACTCAGCCAGGAATGACATCATCCTGTCAGCAGCACACCTGTCTCCTCCTGCTGCCGCCGGCCACTTCCTGGATCTCTTAAAGGGCCAGCTCCAGCGCCAGGACAACAGGTGGAAGGGCAGAACCGGACCAGAACAGAACCAGAACCGGACCAGAACAGAACCAGAACCGGACCAGAACAGAACCAGAACCGGACCAGAACAGCACCAGAACCGGACCAGAACAGAACCAGAACCGGACCAGAACAGAACCAGAACAGAACCAGAACAGAACCAGAACCGGACCAGAACAGAACCAGAACAGAACCAGAACAGGACCAGAACAGCACCAGAACAGAACCAGAACCGGACCAGAACAGCACCAGAACCGGAGCGTGTGAAAGAACCGTGGGAACCGGCTCTGCAGGTCACCAGCATTCAGCTGCTAATTTCATCCAACAATACAATACAGTCATTAGCCATGCAGACACACACACACATTAACACACACACACACATTAACACACACACACACATTAACACACACACACACACACACACACACATTAACACACACACACACACACACATTAACACACACACATTAACACACACACACACACATTAACACACACACACACACATTAACACACACACACACACATTAACACACACACACACATTAACACACACACACACATTAACACACACACACACATTAACACATTAACACACACACACACACACATTAACACACACACACACATTAACACACACACCACACATTAACACACACACACACATTAACACACACACACACATTAACACACACACACACATTAACACACACACACACACACATTAACACACACACACACACATTAACACACACACACATTAACACACACACACACACATTAACACACACACACACATTAACACACACACACATTAACACACACACACACACAAACACACACACACACATTAACACACACACACACTTAACACACACACACATTAACACACACACACACACACAAACACACACACACACACATTAACACACACACACACACATTAACACCACACACACATTAACACACACACACACACACACATTAACACACACACACACACAAAACACACACACACACATTAACACACACACACAAACACACATTAACACACACACACACATTAACACACACACACACATTAACACACACACACATTAACACCACACACACACACACATTAACACACATTAACACACACACACACATTAACACACACACACATTAACACACAAACACACACACATTAACACACATTAACACACACACACATTAACACCCACACACATTAACACACACACACACACACACATTAACACACACACACACACATTAACACACACACACATTAACACACATTAACACACACACACACACATTAACACACATTAACACACACACACATTAACACACACACACATTAACACACACACACACATATTAACACACACACACACACATTAACACACACATATTAACACACACACACACATTAACACACATTAACACACACACACACACACACATTCACACACAACACACACACACACACACACACACACACACACATTAACACACACACACACATTAACACACACACACACATTAACACACACACACACACACACATTAACACACACACACACAAACACACACACACACATTAACACACACACACACATTAACACACACACACACACACACATTAACACACACACACATTAACACACACACACATTAAACACACATTAACACACACACACACACATTAACACACACACACACATTTACACACATTAACACACACACACATTAACACACACACATACATTAACACACACACACATTAACACACACACACATATTAACACACACACACACACATTAACACACACACACACATATTAACACACACACACACACATTAACACACACATATTAACACACACACACATTAACACACATTAACACACACACACACACACATTTACACACATTAACACACACACACATTAACACACACACACACACACACACATTTACACACATTAACACACACACATTAACACACACACACACACACATTAACACACATTAAACACACACACACACACACATTAACACACACACACACACACATTAACACACACACACACACACACATTAACACACACACACACATTAACACACACATATTAACACACACACACACACATTAACACACATTAACACACACACACACACATTAACACACACACACATTAACACACACACACACACATTAACACACACACACACACACACACACATTAACACACACACACACACACATTAACACACACACACACACACACACACACATTAACACACACACACATTAACACACACACACATTAACACACACATATTAACACACACACACATTAACACACACACACATTAACACACACACATTAACACACACACACATTAACACACACATCATCTACTTGTTGCTCTGATTTATGCCAAACATTCCTGACGTTTAGAATATAAATTAAATGTTTAAAGGTTCTAGAGGTTCTGTTTGACCCGTTGGATCAGAACCATCAGAACCAACAAAAACTAAAAAATCTGATGAGTTTTCTCTGTTTGGACTAAAACAGAAAAATAAAGAGATTATTGTTCATTTTCATTTGATAAATGAGAATAATGAAAAGTTTGTCAGCGATATAAATTAAAAATGATTTAATTCTGTTGATTTTCTGCTTCCAGTTAAAACCTTTAATAGATGTGAGTTTAAAACCTGTTTAAAGTTTTGCTCTAATCTAAACGGGCCTCATGAGAACAGCGCCCCCGGTGGCGGCGTGTTGGTTCGGTTCTGCCGGTTCTGGTTAAGCATGTTTGGACCGTTCTTCTCTGTGGTTCTGGATGCTGAGCAGCTGGAAGGATTTTCACTCTTTACACTGTTGTCATGATGCATTGCCATGGCAACAGGCTTTTGTTTTTAGATCGCTGATTAGCATCTCAAAAGCCACAACAGTGGCTGACCTTTGACCCCAGAGGAAATGATGCAGAGAGGAGGAAGTTCGTCTTATCCTCTACTCCAACATCCTTCTAACCAGATGGTCAGTGAGATTTAGAGAGAAGAAGCAAAAGCAAAGGAGGTGGATTAGCAGAGCTGCTAACGGCTCAGCTAATGTTACTGCTGCCTGGATGTTAGCTTTTAGCATGTCAGGAGAGTCATGGGAACATTTTCCTTTGGGATAAATGTCTTTTTTATTGAATGAATTAGTTTTTAAAAATTTTTGTTTCTCTCAGAACTTCATGATAAATGAGTTTGTTTCTTCACTCTTTGGGTTTTTACTGGTTCTGTTCAGTAAAAACAGAAGTAATCTGATTTAATGATCAGATTACATTAAATCATAACTTCTGCTGCTTGTTTTATAAACATGTTTGACTCAAATATTAGAGGAATATTCAGATTAATAACCAGCATTCATCCTCTGACGTGCTGCAGTACCTCACTGACACCAGCAGGGGAGCTGCAGTTCACAGCGCTGGTTGAATCAGCAGCAGATCCTCTGGGTTTATCTCCTCCAGGGATCTGCAGGATGACTTTCTGAAGCTTTATGAAATTTTCATCTTTCTGGATGTTCTAGTAGAACCTGCACCAGGTTCTGGATCCGCAGCTCGGTTCAGTTTGGGTTTTAATCAGGTTCTGCAGACGGTTCGCCTTTGTGGATGGCGTTTTAATAAAAACTGGACGTTTATTTGTGAGATTGTTGACAACCAGAGGCAGGCAGAAAGAGACTGAAGACGGAACCAGAACCAGAACCCGGAGGTCCAAGTCGGGTTTCTGGACCTCAGGCTGAAGTTCTTAGAACCATCACGAGTTAAAAAGTTCTGCTTCCTCCAACTCCCAACCTGAAGGTCAAGTCCTGAAAGATAAGTTCTAGTCCAGAGCCAGAACCGGGTGGTTGCTAGTCGAAGCTCTCCAGGACGGGTTCGTGACCCGTCTCCTTGAGGAAGCGCAGCAGGTCCTGCGGCCGCAGCCCCATGGTGGCGCTGTTGGTCATGGGGTGGAAGTAAACCAGCTGATGGCCGCCGTCCAGCAGGTCCCGGTCCAGAACCAGGCGCACACTCCGGTCCGAGTCGAACAGCAGCGCCAGCGCCGAGGCGCAGCCCTGACCCACCTGGGGAAGAGGAAACGTTATCCAACATGGACTCCACTCCAACCCACCAGAACCATCAGAACCTGGACCTACCTTGAGTTTCTCCATCATGGCGGCCTCGTCGGCAAAGCGCAGGTTGCCGCTGCCGACGCCGAGCTTCTTGGCCAGATCGTTCAGGTTCACCTGCAGACAGACAGACGGACAGGTGAGACTGGGCCAATCGGAGGCCAGCTGGGCCAATCGGAGGCCAGCCGGGCCAATCAGAGGTCGGGAGGCGGAGCCGGCCTCACCTGGCGGTCGTGGCGAGCCGACACCAGCCACAGGCCTTTCTTCTTCTTGTCCTTCAGGAAGAGGTTCTTGGTGACGGCGCCGCTCACGTCCTGCAGATGAGGCATCATCTCCTCCATCGTGAACACCTGCAGCGACGAAGAGGAGGAGGATGAAGAGTTACCAGGAGGAAGAGTAACTTCACCTGATCTATGAGTGAAACTCCTGATCCAGGTTGTCGATGAAACCTCCAGCTTCATTAAATCAACCCCAAAATAAGATCAGAAACAAACTTAATAGGAGCTGCTGTTCAGAAACTTATTGAAAAATGATCCGAGTTATTGGAGGCAGGACGGATTCTCTCATTTCCCAAAGTCCTGCTTTTACCCACTTATTAATTCATTTGGAAATGCCACAGATTCAAACTAAATGTTTAATAATCAAAATTAAATATTTAGTTTGGTAATGAAATGTTTAGCTTTTGCAAACTTAATATTAGACAGCAAACTACAAAGACATACTTATTTAGCAAATATAATAATTAAACATCATCAAACAAAATAATTACCTCGCTAAATACAGATTTACCTCGAAATTGTGACATTTATAAATGAATTAATAAGACCGTAAAATTAACAACTTTCAATCTGATGGAGGATCAATATCTCAAATTATTGCTGTTGATTTTTGTTTAATTTTACAAACGGAACCAGGTCCAGTTCTCAGAGCTGATCGAGCAGCTTTAGTTTCGACACATACGGGCCGGTACCGGGCCGGTACCGGGCTCTGCAGCTGGAGGCCCAGCTGGACCCAGCTGTGTGCTGTGATGTGGCGCCCTCTGCTGGTCCAGAAGGATCAGCGCTACTAAAACGAGTCAGCCACAAAAACTGAAAGTTTCTGAAAAGTTCCGTAAAGAAGTTTAAGTTATTACATTTAGACATAAAACCTGGTCAGTTAGCAGCGATTCAGCAGAAATCACAATATAAATATGGCACTTAAAAATGATTCCGTTTGAAAACCTGCAGATTATTGGATTAAAAGCGTTTCGCAGCAGTATGCATCCCAGAATAGCCTCCCAGCACATGGCTGACGGTGATCCAGGTCTGCTGAACCGTTCGGCTGGTGAACCGAACCAGTGAGTCGCTCTGAACGTATTCATGTGGGGAAGCAGGACGTTCTTCAGGAAGGTCGGTGATGCTGAAAGATGGCGCCGAATTACAGAGCGAGTCAGAGGGAATCAAGAAATCAACTTGTTATTACCCTTCCCTGTTCAACACGTTCAAATGAGGAGGATTTAGTTAAACAGACAGAAAAACTGTACGGCGATTCGGCAGGTTCCATCTGCAGCCTGAAAAGAACCGGCTCCGGTTCTTACCGGAGGATGCTCCACGCAGCTGGTCTGGATGTCCAGCTTCCGCAGGAAGTCCTGCAGCTCGGCCCGCAGGTCCTCATTCATTCTGGGTCCTGGTTCCGATCAACGAAGACGGACCAGACCCGACCCAGAGGCAGGAACAGCTGCGCCTCTTCTTCTTCCTCTGCAGCCTGAAATCCTGCCTCGCCGCCCCTGCCGGAGGCTGCAGGTAACGCACGGAGCCTCCGTCTGACTGGAGTTACGAAACGGAACCACTAAGCCTGAACTCTGACCCAGTTCGGCTCCTGAAGCCATCAGTCTGATGAACATTATGAAATTGCAGAGATTCAGTTCATGTTCTACAAACTCACCTTGACCAGAACCAGAAACTCAACAGAACCGGGACGAGGAACAGACACAATAAAATGAACCCAGGAGGAATCAGAACCAGAACCTGCGGCTGGTTCAGGTGAGCAGAAGTCCTGAGATCTCTGGTGAACTCTGGTGAACTTCCTCCAGACCAGAGAGAGAAAACGGGCCGGTGCCGGTCCGAACTCCAGGAAACGAGGAAAATCTTTTATTGTCCCAAAAATGGGAAAACTTTTCCTCAACAGCAGCAAAAAGACAAACAGTTAAAGAAAACAGACAAAACAGAGACAGCGAGACAGAGACACAGAGACAGAGACAGAGAGACAGAGACATAGAGACAGAAACACAGAGACAGCGAGACAGAGACACAGAGACAGCGAGACAGAGACATAGAGACAGAAACACAGAGACAGTGAGACAGAGACACAGAGACAGCGAGACAGAGACACAGAGACAGCGAGACAGAGACACAGAGACAGAGACACAGAGACAGAGACACAGAGACAGAGAGACAGAAACACAGAGACATAGAGACAGAAACACAGAGACAGCGAGACAGAGACACAGAGACAGCGAGACAGAGACATAGAGACAGAAACACAGAGACAGCGAGACAGAGACATAGAGACAGAAACACAGAGACAGAGAGACAGAGACACAGAGACAGAGAGACAGAGACACAGAGACAGAGACACAGAGACAGAGACACAGAGACAGCGAGACAGAGACATAGAGACAGAAACACAGAGACAGAGACACAGAGACAGCGAGACAGAGACAGAGACAGCGAGACAGAGACATAGAGACAGAAACACAGAGACATAGAGACAGCGAGACAGAGACACAGAGACAGAGACACAGAGACAGAGACACAGAGACAGAGACACAGAGACAGCGAGACAGAGACAGCGAGACAGAAACACAGAGACAGCGAGACAGAGACACAGAGACAGAGAGACAGAAACACAGAGACATAGAGACAGAGACACAGAGACAGAGACAGCGAGACAGAAACACAGAGACAGAGACAGCGAGACAGAGACATAGAGACAGAAACACAGAGACAGTGAGACAGAGACACAGAGACAGTGAGACAGAGACAGAGAGACAGAAAGACAGAGACACAGAGACAGAGACAGAGTTACAGAGACATAGAGACAGAGAGACAGAGACAGCGAGACAGAGACATAGAGACAGAGAGACAGAGACAGCGAGACAGAGACACAGAGACAGAGACAGCGAGACAGAGAGACAGAGACAGCGAGACAGAGACATAGAGACAGAGACATAGAGACAGAAACACAGAGACACAGAGACAGAGAGACAGAAACACAGAGACAGAGACACAGAGACAGAGACACAGAGACAGCGAGACAGAGACACAGAGACAGCGAGACAGAGACACAGAGACAGCGAGACAGAGACAGCGAGACAGAGACAGAGACAGCGAGACAGAGACATAGAGACAGCGAGACAGAGACACAGAGACAGCGAGACAGAGACATAGAGACAGAAACACAGAGACAGAGACAGCGAGACAGAGACAGAGACAGCGAGACAGAGACACAGAGACAGAGACAGCGAGACAGAGACACAGAGACAGCGAGACAGAAACACAGAGACAGCGAGACAGAAACACAGAGACAGCGAGACAGAGACATAGAGACAGAAACACAGAGACAGTGAGACAGAGACACAGAGACAGCGAGACAGAGACATAGAGACAGAAACACAGAGACACAGAGACAGAGACAGAGAGACAGAGACACAGAGACAGAGAGACAGAGACAGCGAGACAGAGACACAGAGACAGAGAGACAGAGACAGCGAGACAGAGACATAGAGACAGAGACAGCGAGACAGAGACATAGAGACAGAGAGACAGAGACAGCGAGACAGAGACATAGAGACAGAAACACAGAGACACAGAGACAGAGAGACAGAAACACAGAGACAGAGACACAGAGACAGAGACACAGAGACAGCGAGACAGAGACATAGAGACAGCGAGACAGAGACACAGAGACAGCGAGACAGAGACATAGAGACAGCGAGACAGAGACAGAGACAGCGAGACAGAGACAGAGAGACAGCGAGACAGAGACACAGAGACAGCGAGACAGAGACAGAGACAGCGAGACAGAGACATAGAGACAGCGAGACAGAGACAGCGAGACAGAGACATAGAGACAGAAACACAGAGACAGAGACAGCGAGACAGAGACACAGAGACAGCGAGACAGAAACACAGAGACAGAGACAGAGACAGCGAGACAGAAACACAGAGACACAGAGACAGCGAGACAGAGACAGAATAAAACCAGTAAGACAATAAAACATGAGGGAGACATTTCTTTTCTCATTAAAAACCCAAAACGTTTTGAATCTTCCTGGATCAGATGCTGCAGCTGCTTTAACGTTTCAACTGGTGATTATTTCTCCAGTCCCTCCAGAAGCTTCTCTCCCAGTCAAACCAGTATTAATGGAACCAGAGACCACATTGTTTTAAAGTTGTGATATTTAACGCCCAACTTTATGATCTTTGGGTTTATTCAATCACAAATCTTAAGATTCATTACAATACGGATTATTAAATAATCATTTTTCAGATTTTATTCATGATTTTAAACCTAACAAACATTTTATAGAAAAGTAAACTCAGAGGTTCTGATGGGTTCTGATCGGTTCTGATGGGTTCTGATGTGTTCTGATCGGTTCTGATCGGTTCTGATGGGTTCTGATCGGTTCTGATGGGTTCTGATGGGTTCTGATGGTTCTGATGGGTTCTGATGGGTTCTGATCGGTTCTGATGGGTTCTGATGGGTTCTGATGGGTTCTGATGTGTTCTGATCGGTTCTGATCGGTTCTGATGGGTTCTGATCGGTTCTGATGGGTTCTGATCGGTTCTGATGGGTTCTGATCGGTTCTGATCGGTTCTGATGGGTTCTGATGGGTTCTGATCGGTTCTGATGGGTTCTGATGGGTTCTGATGTGTTCTGATGGGTTCTGATGGGTTCTGATGGGTTCTGATGGGTTCTGATCGGTTCTGATCGGTTCTGATGGGTTCTGATGGGTTCTGATGGGTTCTGATCGGTTCTGATGGGTTCTGATCGGTTCTGATGGGTTCTGACCGGTTCTGATGGGTTCTGATGGGTTCTGATCGGTTCTAATGGGTTCTGATCGGTTCTGATGGGTTCTGATGGGTTCTGATGGGTTCTGATGGGTTCTGATGGGTTCTGATCGGTTCTGATGGGTTCTGATGGGTTCTGATGTGTTCTGATCGTTCTGATGTGTTCTGATGGGTTCTGATGGGTTCTGATGGGTTCTGATGGGTTCTGATGTGTTCTGATGGGTTCTGATGGGTTCTGATCGGTTCTGATGGGTTCTGATGGGTTCTGATGTGTTCTGATGGGTTCTGATGGGTTCTGATCGGTTCTGATGGGTTCTGATCGGTTCTGATGGGTTCTGATGGGTTCTGATGTGTTCTGATGGGTTCTGATGGGTTCTGATGGGTTCTGATGGGTTCTGATGGGTTCTGATCGGTTCTGATGTGTTCTGATCGGTTCTGATCGGTTCTGATGGGTTCTGATGTGTTCTGATGTGTTCTGATGGGTTCTGATCGGTTCTGATGGGTTCTGATGTGTTCTGATGGGTTCTGATGGGTTCTGATCGGTTCTGATGGGTTCTGATCGGTTCTGATGCAACACCAGGAACAAAGCTGGCTGCCCGACCCGCAGCATCTGAACTCTGAAGTTCCATCAAACAGAACCAGAACCTACAGAAACGGATCAGAACCAGAACCTTCAGGAGAACCTGAAAGGTTCTGTGTTCAGGTAAAACCGGATCATTGGGTCGCCGTGGCGGCGCCGGGGCGACCCATGACCCAAATGGAGGCCTCAGGCCTCGTGGTCGCAGGTTCGATTCCCAGGCTGCTTCCCGCGGTCGCCAGCTGTTTCACATGAAGACCAGCAGAGCCAACATCACTTAACAAACGGGTCATGTAATTATTACTTTCTCCTTCAGTTCAGAGGAATTTTGTGTGGAGATTCATTTAATCTCTGAATGTTTGATTCTCACATTTTGATCTTTTTCCTCTGAATTACATTTTTCTCTCAGATTAAATATGTGACTCAGTTGCTGATAAAAATGGGAAAAAAATCCTCAAAATATTCACTAATTATTAAGTTTTTCTTTATATTTTCCCCCAAAATGGTCCAGAAATCGTCTGCCTGATTCTGTCAGATTATGATTTTTCTCTCTAATACTGGAGCAACTGGTTGATAGATATGATCAGCTTCTGTCCTGGTTATAGATTATTGCTTTTCCTCTGTTTCTAGACAAAGTAAATGTAATGAAGTGAAGAATGAAAGGAGGCCCAAATCTGAGTGTCCAAACTGTTTTTCTGTTCAGTTTTTATTAAAATAAAATCAAACATCCTGGCTTAAAAACAAAAAATATATTTCCCAGATATAATAATCAATTGTATTTTTTTCTTCTTTTTTTACTTTTAACAAAAATGACTTTTATACTTTTGATAAAACCGTAAACAGGTTTAGCCAGAGTTCTGGTTCCAACTCGAGCTCTGATTGGTCCACCTTTCTCACCTGTGGTCCGGTTTAGAGCGCGGAGGGGAGGGGCCACGGGAGAAGGGGCGTGGCTCGAGAGAGAGAGAGAGACAGACAGAGAGAGAGAGAGAGAGAGAGGTGGACAGCGGTCTCTTCCTCCTCCTCTTCCTCCGCTGCCGCTGCTGGCCTCCAGCGGCTCCAGCTCCTCCTGCGGACCCCACGAGGCGATCCGGACACTCTGGCGCTGTCCACAGTTCCCGCGTGGAGCGAGCCCAGCTCGGCTCAGCGGATCCAGGATCTGAACCTCCACGGAGCCGCCGGACCCACGGTGAGCAAGTTGACAGGGACCAGAGGGGAGGAGAGAGGAGAGAAGATGATGGAACAGGAGAAGATCATATTTAGATCATATTTAGATCATATTTAGATATATTTGGATCATGTTTAGATCATATTTAGATCATATTTAGATCATGTTTGGATCATATTTAGATCATATTTAGATCATGTTTGGATCATGTTTAGATCATATTTAGATCATGTTTAGATCATATTTAGATCATATTTAGATCATATTTAGATCATATTAGGATCATATTAGATCATGTTTAGATCATATTTAGATCATGTTTGGATCATATTTAGATCATATTTAGATCATGTTTAGATCATATTTAAATCATATTTAGATCATATTTAGATCATATTAGGATCATATTTAGATCATGTTTAGATCATATTTAGATCATGTTTTGGATCATATTTAGATCATATTTAGATCATGTTTGGATCATGTTTAGATCATATTTAGATCATGTTTAGATCATATAGATCATATTTAGATCATGTTTGGATCATATTAGATCATATTTAGATCATATTTAGATCATATTAGATCATATTTAGATCATATTTAGATCATATTTAGATCATGTTTAGATCATATTTAGATCATGTTTGGATCATATTTAGATCATATTTAGATCATATTTAGATCTATCATATTTAGATCATATTTAGATCATGTTTGGATCATATTAGATCATATTTAGATCATGTTTAGATCATATTTAGATCATGTTTAGATCATATTTAGATCATATTTAGATCATTTTAGATCATATTTAGATCATATTTAGATCATGTTTAGATCATATTTAGATCATATTTAGATCATGTTTGGATCATATTTAGATCATATTTAGATCATATTTAGATCATGTTTAGATCATATTTAGATCATATTTAGATCATATTTAGATCATGTTTGGATCATATTTAGATCATATTTAGATCATGTTTGGATCATGTTTAGATCATATTTAGATCATGTTTAGATCATATTTTAGATCATATTTAGATCATGTTTGGATCATATTTAGATCATATTTAGATCATGTTTAGATCATATTTAGATCATGTTTGGATCATATTAGGATCATATTTAGATCATATTTAGATCATGTTTGGATCATATTAGATCATGTTTGATCATATTTAGATCATGTTTAGATCATATTTAGATCATGTTTAGATCATGTTTAGATCATATTTAGATCATATTTAGATCATATTTAGATCATATTTAGATCATGTTTGGATATTTAGATCATATTTAGATCATGTTTAGATCATATTTAGATCATGTTTAGATCATATTTAGATCATATTTAGATCATATTTAGATCATATTTAGATCATGTTTGGATCATATTTAGATCATGTTTAGATCATATTTAGATCATTTAGATCATTTGGATCATATTAGATCATATTTAGATCATGTTAGATCATATTAGATCATATTTAGATCATATTTAGATCATGTTTGGATCATATTTTAGATCATATTTAGATCATGTTTGGATCATGTTTAGATCATATTTAGATCATGTTTAGATCATATTTAGATCATATTTAGATCATATTTAGATCATGTTTAGACATGTTTAGATCATATTTAGATCATATTTAGATCATATTTAGATCATATTTAGATCATGTTTGGATCATATTTAGATCATATTTAGATCATATTTAGATATTTAGATCATGTTTGGATATATTAGGATCATATTTAGATCATGTTTAGATCATATTTAGATCATGTTTGGATCATATTTAGATCATATTTAGATCATATTTAGATCATATTTAGATCATGTTTGGATCATTATTAGGATCATATTTAGATCATATTTAGATCATGTTTGGATCATTTTAGATGTTTGGATCATATTAGATCATGTTTAGATCATATTTAGATCATGTTTTAGATCATGTTTAGATCATATTTAGATCATGTTTGGATCATATTAGGATCATATTTAGATCATATTTAGATCATTTTAGATCATATTTAGATCATGTTTGGATCATATTAGGATCATATTTAGATCATATTTAGATCATGTTTGGATCATATTTAGATCATGTTGGATCATATTTAGATCATGTTTAGATCATATTTAGATCATGTTTAGATCATTTAGATCATATTTAGATCATGTTTAGATCATATTTAGTCATATTTAGATCATGTTGGATCATATTTAGATCATATTTAGATCATGTTTAAGATCATATTTAGATCATGTTTAGATCATATTTAGATCATGTTTGGATCATATTAGATCATATTTAGATCATATTTAGATCATATTTAGATCATGTTTGGATCATATTAGATCAATATTTAGATCATATTTAGATCATGTTTGGATCATATTAGATCATGTTTTGGATCATATTTAGATCATGTTTAGATCATATTTAGATCATGTTTAGATCATGTTTAGATCATATTTAGATCCATGTTTAGATCATATTTAGATCAATTTTAGATCATGTTTGGATCATATTTAGATCATATTTAGATCATGTTTAGATCATATTTAGATCATGTTTAGATCATGTTTGGATCATATTTAGATCATATTTAGATCATATTTAGATCATGTTTGGATCATATTTAGATCATGTTTAGATCATATTTAGATCATATTTAGATCATGTTTGGATCATATTAGGATCATATTTAGATCATGTTTAGATCATATTTAGATCATATTTAGATCATATTTAGATCATGTTTGGATCATATTTAGATCATATTTAGATCATGTTTGGATCATGTTTAGATCATATTTAGATCATGTTTAGATCATATTTAGATCATATTTAGATCATGTTTGGATCATATTTAGATCATATTTAGATCATATTTAGATCATATTTAGATCATGTTTGGATCATATTAGGATCATATTTAGATCATGTTTAGATCATATTTAGATCATGTTTGGATCATATTAGGATCATATTTAGATCATGTTTAGATCATATTTAGATCATGTTTGGATCATATTTAGATCATGTTTGGATCATATTTAGATCATATTTAGATCATGTTTAGATCATGTTTGGATCATATTAGGATCATATTTAGATCATATTTAGATCATGTTTGGATCATATTAGGATCATATTTAGATCATGTTTAGATCATATTTAGATCATGTTTAGATCATGTTTGGATCATATTCAGATCATGTTTAGATCATATTTAGATCATGTTTGGATCATATTTAGATCATATTTAGATCATGTTTAGATCATGTTTAGATCATATTTAGATCATGTTTGGATCATATTAGGATCATATTTAGATCATATTTAGATCATGTTTGGATCATATTTAGATCATATTTAGATCATGTTTGGATCATATTTAGATCATGTTTAGATCATATTTAGATCATGTTTGGATCATATTTAGATCATATTTAGATCATGTTTAGATCATGTTTAGATCATATTTAGATCATGTTTGGATCATATTAGGATCATATTTAGATCATATTTAGATCATATTTGGATCATATTTAAATCATTTTAGATCATATTAGGATCATATTTAGATCATATTTAGATCATATTTAGATCATGTTTAGATCATATTTAGATCATGTTTAGATCATATTTAGATCATGTTTGGATCATATTTAGATCATATTTAGATCATGTTTAGATCATGTTTAGATCATATTTAGATCATGTTTGGATCATATTTAGATCATATTTAGATCATGTTTGGATCATATTTAGATCATGTTTGGATCATATTTAGATCATGTTTGGATCATGTTTAGATCATATTAGGATCATATTTAGATCATATTTAGATCATATTAGGATCATATTAGATCATGTTTGGATCATATTTAGATCATGTTTGGATCATATTTAGATCATGTTTAGATCATATTTAGATCATGTTTGGATCATATTTAGATCATGTTTGGATCATATTTAGATCATATTTAGATCATATTTAGATCATGTTTGGATCATATTTAAATCATATTTAGATCATATTTAGATCATGTTTGGATCATATTTAGATCATATTTAGATCATATTAGGATCATATTTAAATCATATTTAGATCATATTTAGATCATATTAGGATCATATTTAAATCATATTTAGATCATATTTAGATCATATTAGGATCATATTTAGATCATGTTTAGATCATATTTAGATCATGTTTGGATCATATTTAGATCATGTTTGGATCATATTTAGATCATATTTAGATCATATTTAGATCATATTAGGATCATATTTAAATCATATTTAGATCATATTTAGATCATATTTAGATCATATTAGGATCATATTTAGATCATGTTTAGATCATATTTAGATCAAGTTTGGATCATATTTAGATCATGTTTGGATCATATTTAGATCATATTTAGATCATATTTAGATCATGTTTGGATCATATTTAAATCATATTTAGATCATATTTAGATCATGTTTGGATCATATTTAGATCATATTTAGATCATATTAGGATCATATTTAAATCATATTTAGATCATATTTAGATCATGTTTGGATCATATTTAAATCATATTTAGATCATATTTAGATCATATTAGGATCATATTTAAATCATATTTAGATCATATTTAGATCATGTTTGGATCATATTTAGATCATATTTAGATCATATTTAGATCATATTAGGATCATATTTAAATCATATTTAGATCATGTTTAGATCATGTTTAGATCATGTTTAGATCATGTTTGCATCATATTTAGATCATGTTTGGATCATATTAGGATCATATTAGGATCATATTTAGATCATGTTTAGATCATGTTTAGATCATGTTTAGATCATGTTTAGATCATATTTAGATCATGTTTGGATCATATTAGGATCATATTTAGATCATGTTTAGATCATGTTTAGATCATGTTTAGATCATATTTAGATCATGTTTAGATCATATTAGGATCATATTTAGATCA